AGAAGTCCTCTGGCAGGCTCTTCTGGCCAAGAACCCCCTCCTGTTCAACGGCTCCAAGTTTTGGTTGGCGGGGTTCTCCACGGAAGGCGACCGCAAACCGTCGGCCACGGCTACCGCTACCGCTAACCCCGCCGGTGGTGCCGTGTCCGATACGACGGACTCTTCTGACGGGGGGGGAGGGGGCGGGAGGCACACACCGCCGCTGCCGCCGCTGACTAACGCCGCCCGGCGGCGGTCTCGCTCTCCGACGTCGTCGCCACCTACGCGGAAGCTGCGGCTTCGGCTCGGCCTGACGGACTACAGAACGTTTCGGGGTGAGAGCGTGTGCCTGGTTCTTGTAGGTAGCCGGGGGGATGAATGTTTCGCTTTCCTTCTCTGTCTGTCTCTCTCTCTGCCTCCGTGTCCTTTTCTCCTTGTCGGCCCGTCCTTGGCCAACCCTATATTTTTTCATCACTTTCCCTCAAACTTGTGTTTAGCTTCTACACTGACGAACTGATCGACCCGTCCAGCCAGCAGAGCTAAGTAGCTCCGCAACACCTCCCGCGTGCTTTGGCCTGTCAGTACAACACCGCCACCCTGCTATAAAAAAAAGAAAATATACCTCCACACACACACACGCACACAGCCTCCAACACGCCCACCGCCGCCGTTGCTGCTCCGGTGACGAACGACAGGGACCAACTGGTCCCCCTCGGCCGCAAGGCTAGCGGCAGACAGCGCGCGCGACCACCCGTGGCTGGAGGCGGCCTACCTGTCCCAGAAGCTGGGCGTGGGTGCGGTGGTGGAGACCAAGGACGGGTTCCTGCTGTCGCTGTGCCGCAGCAACGGCGTGGCGGAGGGGCAGGGGATGATGGGGGCGCCGGGGGGGCACCCTGAGCCGGAGGTTAGCTTCTCTTTTATTGTTGTGTGGCTGGGTTGGCCAATCGAGGGGGGTAGGTAATGCGGTTTGGCTGTAGGTATGCATTGGGATGGAGAGGACGGGGAGAGGGTAGGGGAGGGTGTCTTCTTCCGGAGAAAAGGTTTGGCACGAGAGCGCTGCCTCAGGATGATGAAGCGGAAGAGACCTTCTTTCTGTTTCTCCCTTGGGGATGTGGAACAACAAAAAATATGAAAAAAAGAAATGAGCATCATGGGGCCGGGAAGCCTTAAAATTTTTCGACGCCAACAATCATCGGTGTGCTATCTCAACCTGACCGAAATCCTCCCCCGCCCACCACCTTGCCGTAACTACGCCTCCGCCCCTCCCCCCCGTTGCGCAGAAGCTAGGGCTTACGCCGGAGGTCCTCCGGAGCCTGTCGACTAAGGCGGTGTCGAGCCGCCGAAAGGTGGGGCAGCAGGCCGCGGACGAGCTGTTCGACAGCGCCGTCCAGGAAGTCGTGGACGAGACGAACGTGCCCCGGGAGGCCCTGGGGGAGCCGCTGCTGTCGGGGGTGGTGCGCCAGGGCAACAGCTTCGGGGCTCCGACGGCGGGTGCGTGGTTGTTTGTTGTTGTTGTTGTTGTTGTTGTTGTTGTTGGTGGTGGTGGAGGTGGAGGTGGTGGTGGCGGCGTTGGTGGTGGTGGGGGTGGTGGCTATGTTGTTGTTGTTGCTGCTGCTGCTGCTGTGGTTCTTGTTGTGGGTGTTTGTTACCTGTTGTCTGTTGTTTGTTGTTGTTTGTTGTTGCTGTTGGCGGTGGTGTTATCGGTTGCATTCTTTCTTTTGCCCCTTCCTTCTTCCGTGTCTTCTGCCTGGTGTTTGTATCGAGTGTTGTTGTTGTTGTTGGTGATGGTGATGGTGGTGTTCCATCATCCCGTGCTCTCTAACTAAAACCCCGGTGGTGTCTCCCGTGTCGCCGTCTGCCCCGCTCCCACAGCGTTCATCATCCCGTGCTCCCTCACGCGAGGCGAGGCAGCGGCACTCTACGCCAAGGGCGCCAAGGAGGCGTTCGAGAGCACCGGTCTTCGAGCCGTTCCCGGCTTAGAGATCGTCGCCGAGGGGGTCCGTGGATGGTTCTCCAAGAGGGGCCTGAGGGCCACGCCGTCGTTCCAGGGGGCCCTCGAGCTCTGGAGGGGGCACCGCCTGATGGGGGGGGGGGGAGGGGACAACGACGACGACTGAATGTACCGTTTGCCTGGTGTGTGAAAGGAAAGGCGGCTAAACAGATCGTGTTTTTCTTCACACAGGTCATGTTTTGTTCGCGGGGTGTCTTGCTTGTCGAGCGAGATTGTGATTTGGACCAGTTTTATACCCCACCTCATTCTGGACGCTTTTGTGTGGTGGTGGTGGTGGTGGTGGTTAAGGGCGGGGTCGTGCGTTAGAGTTAGTTGATAGCCTAGACGCAGACCCGAAGGCGAGGAGACAGGAGGTGGGAAGATTATCATGCTTGACAAAGACAGAGAGGGGGGAGGGAGGGATATGGAATTGCTGTGGATGACAATAGAACACAACACATGGCAGCATTAGGGAAGACACAAAATAGAGACCTAAAAATGTAGAACTAGCCGTCAACGGAAGCAGAAGTTTCGCAAGCGCGCGACGAAACGCGAGAGAAAACTACGCGTTCTATTGTGTTCTGCTTCAGGGCCCGGGCGGACAAGGGGAGGGGTCGTGTTGGGGTGGCAAGACGGGAGTGGGAGAGTATGCGAAACGTGCGCCGTGATGTCAGAGTGGTAACGTTAAACACATCCTAGCAAGTTGTGTTGGCACCTGCGCCTAGCGGTGATTTGGCGCCCGCGGTACATGTCTTTCTTTGCCCACGCGGCGTTTTTTCTCGTATAGGATGTCCCCCGCCCCCCCGTTCTCTCCCGCGAGAGCGGCATAGCTCTCCTTGTTTGTCGCCGTACTACAACATACTCCGTGCTGTACACGAAACAAGAGTGATGGGCATCGGGAGAGAAGAGGAAACCTGCCTCCGGCAAAAATGCTCGGCGTCTTCGGCGACACAGCACCAGTCGGGACGGCGTCCTTGTTTTATTCCAGGAGGCGAGAGAGAGAGAGAGAGTGAGTGTGTGAGAGAGAAAGAGAGGCGCGTTCGTGCTCTCTCTCTCCTAGCTACAGGAATTGTGGTTTGGGGTGCGCTGTGTTTCCCGTCCGTGGTGACGTGGATTGATTAGATGTTGTCGTTGTTGCTATTGCGATTGCTGCGGCGGCGGCGGCGGCGGCAGCGGCGGAAGCTGCCTGAGGAAAGTTAGTAGTATCGCGAGCGACGAAATCTGTGATTGTCTCTTGTTGCTCTTCCTTCCGTTGGGGGCCGCGTCGAGCGAATCTCAGGCGAATGCGTGGTGCGTCTTGCTCGTGACGTTCGTTGCACACGACCGGCATACAGGCGGGGAGGGGGAGACACTTAGGTGCCCGCAGGTTGCCTGTTGGATAGAAGAATAGATCACTGTCCGTTACAGAATGACGTACACGGCTGAGTTTCTATGTTGGTTCCTCCGCAAGGAGTCTCGGGTGGCCAGGCGGGGGTCACAGTGGGGAGGAAGGAGGGGGGGGGGGGCAGGAGCGCAGGCGTGCGAGCTCATTGGTAGGAGAGCGAGCGAGCAAGAGGGGGGGGGGCAAGTGCCAGGCCTCCTTCCGTGCGTTGGGCATCGCCACGCGTTGTCCGCCTGGCAGGTGTGTTTTTGGTCGACGAGTCCGGGAGTGGCATTGAAGGGAGACGAGCTACTCCTCTCGGTGTAGATCAACCAACCGATAGCACTGCTTGCTGTCTTGTCTTGTCTTGCCACGACGGACGTTCGTTTCGATTTTTGTGTTGTTGTCATTGTTAGGGTTGCTTGGCATGGTGGTGGTTATGGTGGTGGTGGTGGTGGTGGTACAATGGTGGTGCGATGGCTGCGATAGTGTTCCTGGTGACAAAGCTACGTGTAGACATCCAGCTAGATGCTTAGACACCGGTGGTATCTTAGTATTTTCCGTGCGTGATGAGTGCCTTTCCTTTATTTTTACGGTCGGTCCAGAATTTGTCTTTACTCTGGTAGTGTAGGCGTCACCGGTTGCTGAGAGCACAAGCAGAGGTACGGCGATAGTCACGGCTTCCTTTCCAGGACAAAACGCCGAGCGTTGTTTGCACCCTTGTACAATAATATTCGATTTTCCACTCGTTCGCCGTTCTTGGTTTTGCGGCAGAACTTCGGCCACATGTGACTTGCTTCCGCCGCTTTTTGTTGCTGCTGGCAATCACGATCAAACTCACCGAGGATGAGGGGGGGGGGGGAGGAAGCGAGGCCAGCCGGGGAAGTGGAGCCCAGATACAGGAATAGCAAGACCGAGAGAGAGAGAGAGAGAGAGAGAGAGAGAGAGAGAGAGAGAGAGAGATGGACAGAGGCGCGGCGTGGGAGCGCAGAAAATAGGCAGGCGGGGGGAGAGCGAGACAGAGGGTTGGGCAGGGGGGCCCACCCACGACCCCGTAAAGACCTTGCATCAACACGGACAAGAACTTTTACACCCAACGTGGAGGGCGGGGAATGAGTGCATGTATGTGTAGTGCCTCATTCGTCTTGAACATTTTTTTTCACCACCCCCGAGGGTCGGCTGTTGCTTTGCCTTAGGGTGTTCACGCACACACGGCAAAACGGAGAGTCTATCATCGAGTCGCGAAGAAGGTAGTGAGCGTTGGACTGGGTGAGCGGGAATGAACCCGTGTGTGTCTGATTTCCGATGTGGCCAGTCGTTGTCTGTCCTCGCGTGTAGACTATTCCTCGTGCTTTGAAAGAAATGCTAAATGTTTCGCTCTCATGGCAATTGCTTGTGTGCGTCTCCCTGGCCGTTGAACATGACATGAGCCATCCTTCTAACAAGGTAGTGTGACCGTGGGTGTTCGCCCCCCCCCAAAAAAAAATCAAATTGACCCTCGACCCTACACTGGCATCTCTTCACGTACGTACTACATGCATTCCCAGTCCCCATCTGCGGCGCCATGCAGTCAAACCGGGACCTTTGTTGAAGGAAACACGGCAAAGCTCCTGGCAGCTCGACCCGCTGGTACCGAAATACGATACGACAATGTACTGCCGTAGAGCTACTCGTCGTACTTAGATATTGTGGTGTTCTCTATTCATTATGTCGATGAGTGCAATAGGTAGGCCGGGCACACCCTACAATACTTAGACAGAACAAACATCAAACAACAATTCCGATTGATCTGTCGCGTTGTCACGTCGTCACACACACACACGCTGCTCTTTCACTTCGAAGCATTGCTGCCATCGACGGATAAATTGGTCTCGGCGTTTTGGGTTTATTTAGGTAGGTAACTCTATTCCCACCTCTGGTACCAGCCGCCATCTCATCATCAAAATCTGAAACAAGCGTCCTTATTTTAATTGACCTTGAGACAGAGGTGGGCAGGATTTGCAAAGTAGACTACCCGTTCCGTTGACTTCACTCCAGCCGCCCCCGCGCAAAGAGAGGGAGAGAGAAAGAGGTAAGAGCGAAAACCTCCTTTGCAAACGGGAAACAACCGCGTACTGTACGCACGTGCGTGGTGTTCGAAGATTCTGTCCTGACAAGAGAGAACGACAAGAAAGGGCAACAATAGCCAACCACTTCTTACCACTGCACTTTTGTTCGTTTTTCAACTGCAGCAAAACAGCATTCCCTACGCAGCCGCCTTGCTGCGTTATTTCGGGAGGGGGGGAGGAGTGTTCCACCCCCTGGAGAGTACGTCTGTCTGCTGCTGCTGCTGGGTACAACCTCAGTGTAGGCTGCTTCCAAGGGGGCCCCGCTGGGACGGCGGGTGGGGGGGACGCCGCTGTTGTGGAATAAACAACAACAACACGTCCATGTTAATTCAGATGGGTTGCAATACCAGGTTACATATTTATTTATTTATTTGCTACGAAGTTAACAGTTGTTGCGCGCCAACAACCAACGGCGGCGGAAACTTTACCCCCCCCCCTACACTGCGCCCCCACCTACTAAAGGCGGTCGTCTTCGTGGATGATCCCAACTAACACCCCAAAGAAAAATCGGTATGCCCATCTCGCTATAACTATCGCAGGACTTCGGTCTGTATACCGCGGAGGTGTTCGAGCGCATGCATGCGTGATGCACGCATCAAAATGCCTAGAACAAACAAGACACAGAGGTAACGTTTTGTCTCGTAAAGCTATCTGTCTGTCTGAGAGACAACCCATGGCGGCACAAGACGACCCCAATAAACCAGCAAAAAAAAAAAAAAAACGGAGTGTTTTTTGGGGGGCGTGGAACTACGTATGTACCCGCAGGACTGCACACGAGCGCTACACTGCCTGCTGCAATACTGCTTGGACCCACACTTGCATGGTCTAAACCGCAAGAGAGAGAGAGAGGCCCTCTATTCTCTATCGCTCCTCTTCATTCTGAACCGAACGATGATTGAAACACAACCAATCGACCTCATACATACGCCTCGGGCGTGGGATGTATGCATACAGTAAATGCACGCATGAGTGAGTCTCTCTACAAACTCCTCGTCCGTCGTTTTTGGTCAGCGGGAGATTTCCACCGCCTCCACCGATAAAACAACCAACTCGCTCGTCGTCATGCACCGGTTTCTCTCACCCAACCTATTCATACATCCGGAAGCATCATCGATGATCGATCATCGAGTGCTTATTCTCCATTCCACACAGACAGGCAGCAGTCCCGCCGCTTTTCCCCAAGCGGCACGCACCGGGATGGTTACGGTTCTTTCTCGTAGACCAATGAAAACACGCCGATCTAGGAGGGGGGCTTGAATGACGGCTGGTATC